CTCCAGGGGTCGATCAACTCCTGGGGTCGCCCACCCCCCTACAGGCTCGCCTTGGGCCCAACCTTGACCAGGTGCTTCTTACCGCCTCTCCAACGTCCGCGGCATGTGTATTCCGGAAGAATTGTACAGAGGAATGGCGGTTTGCTCAAGATAGGAAGGCATGCAAGGAAGCACAACTCCACTCCATCTCCACCATCCATCTTATGACTGTTTGATCCAAGGGCTGAGGTGAAGAGGCACACAGATCGCTGATATGGCACATTGAGAGGCCTCCATTCCTCCTCTCAACCTATAAATAACCTCTCACTCCCTCTCATTCACACACACAACAAGGAAGAAGAGCACTCCTCAGTATTTTCTTTCGTTGCAGTACCAATGTCTGGAGGGTCGTCCAGAGAGAGAGAGAGAAAAGGGAAGGAACTACCATTATGTGGGAGGGTTGTCTTGGTCCCGATTTCTTTGAGGAAGCTCTTTATGAGAGGTTCCTAGTTGAGAGCAAAAGTGATTTCACCAAAAAGGCACCACTGAGAGGATACGATGAGCGGAAAGAAGAGTGGCCAAAATGCATGTATGGTGAGGACTGCCTAGTGTAGATGTTCACCGAGGGAATAGATGAAGGTCATCGTTTCTTCAAATGCCCGCGAGCATGGGTAATTGTTATTACTATTTGTTTCTTCAATATGTTCCTCTTCTATACAACTTACATGACATACTTATTGCACTCTTCCTTGGTCAAAGAAAACTATAGATTCACTAGGTGGGTCAATCCTCAACCTATTTATCCGCATGCGGAGTACATCTACTACCTGCAGGACCGTATCTTCAATCTAGAAAGGGAAGTTAGCAGCGGTTATAAGGACGACGAACAGGACGACAACAATAATGGTGCCGATTCACAAGAGGCACTCTGCAATGATCCATATTGCACCTGCCCTAACCACAAGAACAAGGGGCCTCCGCCGTCACCCCCGCCACCACCACCAACAACAATGGGAGGCTACTGTGGAGAAGGTGCAACACAATTTGCCATATGGCCACACTATTAGGACGACCCTATCTTATTCACATGGAACATCTATGTGTTTGTTGTTTGGTTTAATTACCTAAGACATGTTAGGTTTAGTCGAAGGAACTCTGTACCCTAGTTCGGTATATGTTCTCACATGACATTTCATGTGTTTTATGTGTTGAATTATATAATGTCCTACTTCGTTAGGTTTTGTTTACAGCACGTGATCACATTTCACTACGTCCACAATATTATACTGAATATTATGACCACAAATAATGAAAACAAATACATAATGAAAAGTCCAATACTATGCCACATTAAACAACACAATAATACTAGAAGTACGTGCCGACAGTAGACAATATTGTCCATGAATAAACCATAAAACTAGCAAGTCATTGAGACTACTGAGTGCAACGAGGCCACTTTCCCTTTCTCAGGGCATCGGGATTCTCCTCCATCGCTGCTTTCGCTCGGCGTGCACGCTCAAGCTTCTTCTCCCTCTCCTCCCTGTACGCAGCAACACGCCTCCTTTCCTCCTCTTCCTTGTGATCCTTTTTTGCAGCCTCCTCTCCGTGTCTCTTCTCCATCATCTCCTTGTCCTCTGCCTCCCACCGTAATAGTTTCTGCATCCATTCCTTGTCTTTAGGCTTGATCTTAGTGTTGATCCACTACTCAAAATCACAGAACGGTGGAGGGGTCTGCAAAAAATATAATTGTTACAAAACAAAAAAAATCATGCAAGATGTCATATGACAAAAACATCAATTCCTCACCATCTTGTTAATGCGGCGCTGAAGAAGTGTAGGCTCAAACGCAAAATTGGAACACATCCAATACCTCTGCCTATACGTGTCCTCTTCATCAGACTTGACTACCTTGCAAGGATCACCACAAAAACACATGGGCACTGGAACACCACTAGGCAGAGGCAATGGGTCGAAGGCATTTCCGGTCATCCGGCCATAACTACAATTCAACCAATTTCATTTTAAGAACCGAAAGCAATTAACATTAAACCCTAAACGTAGGGTTTCCCATTTGATGCACAACAATGAAGCCATAACATAACAATATGCGCTGATGTTACCTTGGTTTGCTAGCTTTTCCACGCCTTGGCATCCTACGGTTATATAATACAAATATTAAAAATTGCACGAAACCCTAAGTAATGACGATTCTTAGGTTGAAAAATCCGACTAATATATACCGAATCGATGCGAAAAAAACTGGAAGGGGAGCGAGGATACCTTGCTCTCGAAGATCTATGGATCAAATCAAAGTTTCCAAGATCCAATATGCCGATTCGTGAGGTAGGGCGAAGTGGGGAGAGAAAAAACCCGAGAGGGAGGAGAAAGAAGAGGAAGAAGGCTCGGGCAGGAGGGTTGGGGGCCGGGTTAAAACACCACCTCGGCGCCATAGTTATTGGCGCCAAGCTCGGCGCCGAGATCTACGGCGTCAAGCTCAGCGCCAGGATCTACGGCGCCGAGTTGCCTGCCAAGTTAGCGCCACGTCTGTGTCGAGCCCAAGACCTCGACGCCAGCAACGATGGCGCCGAGACGTGTAATCTCAGCGCCAGCAACGATGGCGCCGAGCTAAGGGTCTAGATTTTGAAAGCATACCTCCAGGGGCATATTTGAGAAAAAATTTCAAAAGAAGGGCTAAAAAATAAAAAATTACCCATAGCGCGGCAGAAAAATCTAGATGGTAGCACACGGGACATGATGTTTATATATGTTTGGGCGGATAACTCCCTTCATGATTATAGATAGGATCAAGTGAAACTATGTATACTAAAAAAGAATTAAGTCTGACGTGGTTACATGACACTTGTGTTGTCATCAAAGTCACATGAACTTTGACATAAGCTTGTTAATGTAGACTAATTATAGTAAATAATGAGAGCATCTACTAGAAAATGAACACCAAAATGAGTCCATAGAAGATTCATATAATTCCAAGTTAGGCACCAAGCCTGGTTTTCTAGAAAATAAAGCTAGTTTCATTTTTTTTTCTAAGCTAAATTAATTTTTTTTAGATTAAACCATATTTTAGGATTTGTAATTGCATATTCTAAAAAATGAATATTTTAAAAACATTTATAGTAGAGATAGAGAAGAGGTAGAGACAGAGAAAAGAAGAGAGAACAATCCTAGATCCACAAATGGTCGAGTCGAGCCCCTCGCCCAACCACATGGTCCCACGAGTCCATGATGATTTGTTCGTCCTGGTTCCTGGCTAGATGGCTGTAGGCCACCAATTCCAGAGATGAGCAACGCACATCACAAGTTCTGCATATCTGGGATATACCTGGTCATGGAGCACATGACCCAACCAAGCCATTTGAAAAAAAAAATCTGATCTGACCCGCTAGTATGTTAGGTCAGGTTTGTATCATGATTTTCGACCTATGACCCAACCCAACCTAAAAAGACAGACTTAAAAGTAGGAAAATCCAATAAATAGTTTGACCTGACACCCCAATGTCGGAAAGGACTTGGGCCAAATATTTTGACCCAACATTTTTACAGCCTAACGCGACCTAGCGTTTAATTAGGTCTTATTTGGGATCATGGCACTCCCAGCGATCAGGCTATGGACGATTTCATCTCTCTCACTGGTCCATAGTTAGGTCTTGCTCACAATATTCTCGCTCTCCCTAAGCATCTTGTGTTGTACATATTCTAAGTCGCTTAAGTGGTGAAAATAATTATAAACCGCTAACAGTGTTTATTTCATGGTGGTACACTCTTTTATTTGCTCCTTTAGGTGGAGCACCTTTTTCTAGATCGGGAATAACTATTTGTTCTACTCTCTTTACTCCAAATTATAAACCCTTTTGTCTTTTCTAGTAACATAGCTTTTTTATCTAGAAAATCAACCGTCTCATACGAGTAGCAAAAGAAAAAGAAATCTCCAACACTCCTCAATTCAAGCTTTAGTCATTACACTTATATATACACAAGCGAGAGCTCGTACGATTCCTCTAGAACATGGTGTCGTATATATGGCAGCTTCTACTGAACATCGTTGAGAAAAATCCCCGGAGAAGTTACTGAACAGCGTTGACAAATCCACGAAGAAGTTGAGAATTCATGCATGGGCGTCCACGACGAGGAGAATTCAAATAGTAATACGCTCCTACGTATGTACTCCGTCACGAGCAATCCACGGGACTGGGTTGGATTTCAGCAGCAGCCAAGCAGCGGGTTTCCACGGCGACGCTGTAGCAGCACGGCAGGCGCGCAACTTGCGGGCGTGCACTGCCTGCCAAGCCAGCGGTCGCCATTTATCCATCCGGCTGAAAACGAACCAAGAGGCCGGCCATCTCTGGAAGCCGGAGCCTTAACGCCAGCGATACGCCCGAGTCGCTCTCCCTCACCGTACGTACCATCATGGGTGATCTGGAAACGCCGAGACCAAGTCCAATATAATCATCCGTGGAGTGGGATCCTCTGCGTGGCCCCATCCGATCACTTGCACCGGTCCAGCGCGTACGGCGTGCAGAGAACCCCACGCTATCCGTCTCGCACGAGTGCGCATCGAACTACCAGCCTCACTTGTCAGAGAGTTCCGTCCCCTCTCAAGGCGACGTCGCCGTCAGCGAAAGAGCCCTACTAGCAGCCAGCGCCCAACAGCAGCGAGGGAGGCCCAGGCGGCCCACTTGGATCCCATGCCTGCGCGTCCCGCGCGTCCCCGTCCCCGTACCCGCGAGCTCCAGCTGGTTCCGACCCAGCAGCTAACCCTTTCGAGCCCGACGAGCCCTCTCTCCCGAAGTCCCGAGCCCCCCGCCCGACCCATCAAGTCGCACTACCTGGCTGGCGCCTCCCGGGCCGCACCGCGTGGGAACAGTGCACGCGGCCACGTCGCTCTCCACGCGCTAACCTATATAACCCGCCACCTTTCCCTCCAAATTTCAAACCAAATGCTCCGACTCGTTCCTCCCCCCTCTGCTCGCCACGGCCACCACCACGCTCGGGCTGCAGCCATGGACGCCGCCGGCTCCTTCAGCGACTACTCCTCTGGGACGCCGTCCCCTGTCGGCGGCGTCAGCGGCGCGGACGGCGACGACGGCTCCTCTTCGTCGTACATGACGGTGTCGTCGGCGCCGCCCAAGCGGCGAGCCGGGCGGACCAAGTTCAAGGAGACGCGGCACCCCGTGTACAAGGGCGTGCGGAGGAGGAACCCCGGGAGGTGGGTCTGCGAGGTGCGGGAGCCGCACGGCAAGCAGCGGATATGGCTCGGGACCTTCGAGACCGCCGAGATGGCGGCGCGCGCGCACGACGTCGCCGCGCTCGCGCTGCGCGGCCGCGCCGCCTGCCTCAACTTCGCCGACTCGCCGCGGCTCCTCAGGGTGCCGCCCATGGGCTCCGGGCATGACGAGATACGCCGGGCGGCCGCCGTGGCGGCGGAGCAGTTCCGGCCGGCGCCTGATCAGGGCAATGTGGCCGCCGAGGAGGCGGCAGATACTACGCCGCTGGATGCCTTGCCTGGCGCGACGCAGAGCGTCGATGACCCGTACTGCATTATCGACGACGGGCTCGACTTCGGGATGCAGGGGTACCTCGACATGGCGCAAGGGATGCTCATTGATCCACCACCGATGGCTGGTTCGTCCACCAGTGGCGGAGACGACGATGATGACGGTGAGGTCAAGCTCTGGAGCTACTGATGACCGATCGCGCGCATTTGAAGCAAGCTAGTAGCTTGCATTGGGCAAATAACTTCCCTGTACAGCCTCGGGAAGAATCTAGTAATTACCGGTGAAATGTACTGGTTGCCCTTTCCCTTCAGTTCGTCCGTACTCCGTAATGTTAATGTACCCTGCTCTTCTGATGAAGGGTGATCAGGAGAAGCAGAAGACTGAGTTTTCTCAGTTTGGTCGTTTAATTTGGAGCTAGAGATGTAATTGCATAATGCATGCATGGTAACGGTGATCTTGAGAGTTCCATCAGCAGCACTTGTAATAAGCCGCAAAAGCATGGGGCTTCATGTATGGATTTGGGAATGGCCTGGTGGTATATTATTGATGCTGCATTAAGAATTTGGCTTGTTGCAGGGATCAGAAACTATAATCCTTCTGAAAAAACTGGTACCCACGCACCTGATGATGAAGCTCCAACTGCTCTAAGTTCATGTGGTTCAAATCCTTACTGTAATGCTACACGGTAAATCATAATGCGGTGGCTGTATTTTGATATGTATACTTTGAGTTATATTTTATTACCTAAAGCTAAAGCTCCTTTTCTTAAGAAAGAAAATAAGGGGTGTGCAGAGGTAGGTAACCACCAATTATGTTATCTTCAAGAGTTCTCCTTAACTTAATTCCCCTAAATCCTCATATAGAGTACATTCTAGCAAAAAAATCTCTAAATAGTTCTCTTCTCCAACAATTACCCTATCTCAAATAATTTATATGGTGGACGAAATGACATCTCAAAATTTAAGTGGGAGAGGATAGTTTAGGATACCACTAAACATTGGATGTTGAATAGGGGACCATTGGAGTACGAATTTTGTTCATAAACCTTAATTTTAGCTCTAGGGGGTGAATACTGTAAGAATTTTTCTTTTGGTTGCTACTCACTGGTAGTTATTTTGGCTTTTATAGGCACATGATTTTTACTACATATCTAGATATAACGTATATCTAGATAAATAACAAAAGTTATTTACTGATAAAAAATGGCTTTATAATTTGAAATGGGAGAGTATCTTGGGGGAAAAATATAAAAAGTTGGGCTCTACCTAAATCTCTTGGTAAATTTCATATATTTTTTTCTACGGTCTATCTAATGATTGTTCCTTCAAAATTCCTATGTTTTCAACCGTATTATTCTTGCAGAATTTTTATATTTTTTCTAATTCTATGTCTTTGCATTGTTCTAAAGAGGGTCTTAAGGAGCACCGGTCTTTTTTTAATGAAGAGAACATTGGTCTTGCATTGCTTCTTACAGAGTATGAGCTCGTGGTTTGCGTTGGAGCTGATGATGATGGCTACGGGCTACCAGATAACGGAAAAGGGTTTGACGATGTCAATGAAACGCCGTAGTGGCCTCAGCATCAGCTGGCAAGCAGCGGGAGCGAATACGCGGTCCATAGCATAGCACAGTGAGGTCTCACGTCAGTGTCACTTCAGAGCTCGGAGTGGCTGACGGGTGACGGTCACTCGTTGTCGCGCTAACTCCTCTTGGGTCGGGCGGCTCGGACCGCGAAGTGCCATTCCCAACCCAACAAAAGTAGTGCCCCTGCCAACCGCCAGCTCACAGAATCACAGCGAGTTCTCTCTTTTTTACCCAGTCCTCCCGCGGGTTCGCGCCACCGCTGTATAGCTAGAACTAGAAGTTCCTGTCTGACTTTGGGTCTCAGGACTGAGGACTGAGTCGGGAACGCTGGTAGATGAACCACGCAAATAGCGGGTTGCAAACTTTTTTTTTATCTGATTGTTACTGAGTCTCGCCTCCAGCCCAGAAGTTCAAACAGGCCGAGAAGCTAACTTGAGCAGCCAGCCGGCGGCCCACTCACGCACGCAAAGGCACGGAGGGCAGCGAACCAGTGACCAGGTGGCCGAACGCCGCCGCCGCCCGACGGAATTGAGTCGCTGCTCGCGTCTCCGTGTGGTGCGGCCAGGCGGCCAGCTGCCGAGTTGCCCCCCTTCAATTTGCTTCACCCTCCGCCACTGCTTGTATTGACACACATCACTCTCCCTTTTTGCGCTTGCAGACCAACAGCTTCCATGAGTTGTCGGGCTTGGTATAGGACCAACCCTAAATGTGCTCGAGCCACAAGTGGGCCGAGGCGGTGAGGTAGAGGGAGAGGTATTGAACATTGTAAGGGTGTCTCAAGACTCTCAACGGTAGTATTCAGCTAATTCTTTGAGTTCGTGTCCCATCATACATTGGAAAGTTGTGCCAATTCTTCGAGTGTGTTCCATCATACAATAAAAAGTTATGCGAACCTCTGAAGTTGGCCGGAGCAAGAGTGCTAGGATGCGGTATCCGAAGGCCTTTGGTCTGACTCAGATTGGAGGTCGGGTTATGGATGTCCTCTAGCCTTTGTCGGTGAGGGTAGACACTGAGACATCTATCTTCTAAGTTGTCTATTTTTGTGGTGAGCTTGATCGTGATGATCGTGTTACTGTTTCGGAAGCGTGGTCGTGGTTGTCTTTTCAGCCATCGTCGACTTTGTTAGCCCACTAGATCACTGGCTTAGTTGAGTCGACCACTCATCAGTCTTGCCGACCTCGGCCGAGCACGACAGACGCTATACGGCCACACTCTATGGCTAGAGTTAGAAGAAGAGAGGGAGAATAGAGCACACACATAGTACAAGCACCAGCGTTGGCCGGAGCCCTGTATAGGAGATGGCAAATCTAAACTCTCTTTACTGAGTTACAGTGACAAACTATTTATACAACTTTATCTATCTAGACCTAGTACAGCTGCCATGCTGTAACAGTGACTAGATAACACAGCAGGACTGACTTCTGTGCCTGTCCCTGTATTTGGCTACAGTGTGGCAGGTGAGCCATTCGACGCCTGCTCCTGCAACGGCTACAGTAACACAGCAGGGTACCTTTACGGTGCCGCATTCTCTTGTTGTGTGTTCATACAAAGTAGCAGTAGATTATCTACCAATTTTTCCGCTAATCCTACTGCTAACCCTGGCACCCCCTCCATGCCGATCATCTCCTTCAGCTCCATAAACCAAAGACGTCCGAGCGGCTTGGTGAGGACGTCCGCGAGTTGCCGACCAGTTTCGACGAACTCGATGACGATCTGCCCTCCATCGACATAGTCCCTGAGGAAGTGGAACTTCACGTCGATGTGTTTGCTCCGGTCGTGCAGAACCGAATTCTTCGTGAGGGCGATGGCGGGCTGGTTATCCACCATCAGTGCTGGTGGGTCAGTTTCCATACCAGTCAGCTTGCCCAGTAGCCGGCGTAGCCACACAACTTGGCACGCTGCTGTGGCCACCGCTACGTACTCTGCCTCGCACGTAGAAAGCACCACCACCTTCTGTTTTAGCGACAGCCATGAAATTGAAGCCGACCCGAGGAAGACAAGCACGTCAGAGGTACTTCGTCGGCCGTCGATGTCCCCCGTCATGTCTGCATCACTGAACACAATGAGTTGCAGCCTACTCTCGCTTGTCTTGGGGAAGATGATCCATTGATACACCATTCCCTTGACGTAGCGCAACAGCCGCTTCACCGCAGCCCAGTGATCCTCAATAGGATCCCCCATAAAGCGACTGACGTAGCCCACGGTGAACGCAATGTCCGGCCTCGTGTGGACTAGGTAGCGCAGACCGTTGATGATGCTCTGGTAGAGTGTTGCATCCACCTTCGCCGCGGTGCTGGCCTTTGTTAGCTTCAGCCGCTCCTCCATCGGAGTCACGCATGGCTTGCACTCAACCATGCCACTCCGCTCCAGCAGCTTCGAGGCATATGCGCTCTGGCCGAGCGTGAGTTCCTCCTTCCCCTGTCTCACCTCGATGTTGAGGTAGTAGGAGAGTGCGCCAAGATCGCTCATTCGAAAACGAGCCGCCATATCACGCTTGAAGCTGTTGATGTCCTCCGCACGCGCACCGGTGACGATCAAGTCGTCCACATACATGCCGACGACAAGCTCCTCTTTCCCCCGTCGTCGTGTGTAGAGCACGTGCTCGATTGCGCACCTTGTGAACCCAAGCTCGCCCAACGTGGCGTCAAGCTTGGCGTTCCACGCTCATGGGGCCTACCGCAGCCCATAGAGTGCCTTGCGTAGTCGGAGCACCCTATGCTCCGCTCCCTTGACGACGAAACCTGGAGGTTGCCTGACGAAGACCGTCTCCGCCAGCTCGCCATTGAGGAAGGCCGATTTCACGTCCAGGTGATGGACGCGCCAGTCCTTTGCTGCTGCCCAAGCTAGTAGCAAACGGACAGACTCCATGCGCGCTATCGGCGTAAAGACTTCCTGGAAGTCGATGCCCTCACGCTGGACAAAGCCTTGGGAGATGAGGCGTGCCTTGTGTTTGACGATAGCGCCGAGCTTGTCCTGTTTGACTTTGTACACCCACTTCAGGCTGATCGGACGGCATCCTGGAGGTGGATCGATAAGCTCCCATGTCTCGTTTTCCTCGATCGCCTTCATCTCCTTCAGCATCACCCGTCGCTAGTCTCCATCGCGCTCAGCCAGCACGAATGTGGGCTCTGCACTGACGAGAAGCAGCTTTGGGTCATTGAGCAGTCGTCCCGCTAGGCCTGAGGGTCGTGTGCCGCCGCCGATGTCGTCCAGCCTACAGAACCGCACCTCCTCACCTTCGTGGAAGGCATCCACGAACTCAGTGATGTCACTTAGAGGTGGGGCAAACTCGATCGGCGTCGATTGAGTTCCCTGTTCCGCCGGAGTGCTCGGCACAGTACCTAGAGTGCTCGGCACCCCGAATGCAGTGCTCGACACTACTCCTAGACTGTTCGTCATAACTCCTATAGTGCTTGACACCACTGTAGGAGTGCTGAGCCTCAATCTTGGAGTGGTCGACACCACTACAAGACTTCTTGGCTCTGCTACGGGAGTGCTCAGCATCCATCCTGGAGTGATCGCCACCACTGCAGAACCTCCCGGCACCACTCCTGGTGTCGGTGCAGAAAGTGACCAACACATAAATATTTGTAGTTTTATCGTACGTTGTGATCGGATATGGCCTAGCACTCAATGACACAGGGTTTATACTGGTTCAGGCAACGTGCCCTACGTCTAGTCTGAGTTGGTTGGTGACTTTATTCCTGAGCCCAGGTGCTCGAAGTTTGCTGTGGAGTTACAAACAAGAGGGAGAAAGATGGGGGTGCAAGAGGTCCGGTTGGACACCGGTCTGAAGGGCCAAGAGTGACGAGATCTCCTACGTGCACTGAGTATTCGAGCGTGTGCTCGAGGCTTGAGCCTAGTGGTTCTGTTGTTGTGTGTTGGATTGTTGGAAAGTTGATCGATTGATCGTCCTCTGTTGGGAGAGAGCGCGTCCCCTTTTATAGATGAAGGGGACGACCTTACAAGAGAGAGAGAGCACGTATGCTATTAAGTCTTGATGTCCACGCCGTCGAGTACAAGATGATGGTAGGCGCCCATAACCCAGTTGTTGTTAGACGCATGTGGGAGGTTTTACCGTGTTCACTATGTATGGTAAATGATGGCGCCCACAACACTGTTGATGCCTAGAGGCATGTGGGGAGTCTTATCGTGTTCGCCTGGTATGGGAATTGATGGCGCCCATAACACTGTAGGGTAAAACTTCGGCGCCCACAACACTGCTTGGGTTCTGACATGCCTAGAAGGTTACATGGCACCCTTTTGACATGCCCTGTCGGTACTGTCCTGTAGGTGTACTGGGTATGGTCCTCGGTATTGTGGTTGACTTGAGTGCCCTATCTTACTTGCTCCACCCGTTTCCTAGTCCTCACCGAGTGGGCGTCCCCAGTCGGTTGGTCCTAGTCGGCTCCGACTACGCCAGTCGGAGAAGAGCTGTAAGCAGAGGTTTGGTGTATCCTCGGTCGAAGACGCGGGTCGGAGTCAGAAGAGGACTTCGTTCCTCCTTGGCCAGGCCTTCCGGTTGTGGAGGCAGGCTGGAGTCGGAAGTGAGGCCGTCCGGTCGGAGAGGCGGGCCAGAGTCGGAGGCGAGCGAGCGTCGTTCGTCCTTGGCCAGGCCCTCCGGTCGGAGACTGGATCACCCTTCTGGCCTGTCATTAGGTTTTTGGGCTAGCCCAGGAGTTGCGCGTTGTTCACGACATCGTCTGCTAGGCTGAGCCTTTGCTGGGAAGTCAGTCCATGAGGGACCCCGGGTTTATGAACCCGACAGGAGCCCCCGAGCCCCCAGGCGATTTGGGTAGAATCGTTTGGGGAATTTTTGTCTTAACGGCGGGTGCGCGCGAGCGCACCCGCGGGTGTAGCCCCCGAGCCTAGGGGGTTTTCGTGTTGCTAGCGGGGGAAGTTTTGTTTTGTCGATGAGAGCACACATGTGTAGCCCCCGAGCCCACCGGTGATTCGGGTAGAATCGCCTTGGGAGTTTTGTCAGCGG